TTGTGTCTGGGGGCCGGTGCCGGGGAGAAGAGGAGGACAAGGGAAGAGGAGAGAAGGGGCTTTACTTGCACCACACACTATGGACTTCAGTCTGGCCTGACAAGAAAGAGGACGAAGCGAAATCAAGTCAGAGACACAAAACAGACTCGGTTTGTCTGCCGGCATCACGTCGGCCTCTGCCTTTACGCTCAAAATGTGGCTTAAATATTAAGCTGCTGATGGGTGGATAAGGTCTGACTCACATGAAACACTGAGGCCTAAGTGATGCTTGTAAATCTTGACAATGGGATTGAGAACTTAAAAAGGAATCCAATATCACACATCCTATCAGATTCCTCCCCAGGTGTGGCAGCTGTCTGCCTAAAGACTTCTGCTTATTTCAACTGTACCCTATGCCTTGTGGCACGGACATCCCCCTCTGTTAAGGTGGGACGTGGTAGGCAGATCCACAATCAGCCTCTCCCTCTCTCTCTCTCTCTCTGTATGTGTATCTTCGTGTGTGTGTGTGTGTGTGTGTGTGTGTGTGTAAGGAGATCTGGGAGAGACTGGGAGTCACCTGTCCCTTGTTGGCCTCTCTCGTCCCCCTTGGGAGGGCTGTAATTCTCTTTTGGCTGGGCTGATCAGCAGCTGCCACGCGCACACACCCATATACACACACACACACACACACACACACACCACACGCACCACACGCACCACACACACAAACATCATACATCTTCCCTTCACAGCTCAGAGTTAAAGATTGAGCAAGCCGTTTTGGGGTGGTCAAGAGCAGCACATTATGACTCAGATGAAATGCTTTGGTAAATGCCTGACGCCATATTATCACTGTATGGACCACAGATTCATGAGCATTGTGAGAGTTCAGAGTGTTAATTACATTTTGGATCTTGTTCCAGGTTGATAAAATACCTTGAATCTGTTAAAACTGTGAGTCAAAGAAATCTTTTATAGACTCCTTTAACTTGTAAATAAGCAATATACAAAACACTAAAGTAGTTTTTAGCTAATTAGCATATGTATTAAAAAATTTATGCTGCACTAATCAATATTTGTAATATTAACCATGGGCCAAACAGAAAGGTTTGATTTGTTGTTATGATCCGACAGAGAATTATCAGCCAACCGGTGGTCTCTCTCCGCTCTGTGGAGCATTTTAGCATCTTTCTCCTCATTGTTTTGGTTTTCTGGGCTGCAACTTTTCTGTCTGACCACAGCAGTTAAGTGTCTCCAGCAAAAAAAAAAAAAAAGAAAAAAAGAAGAAAAAACTCTGATAAACAGTAAAATTAACAACTGGCTGGGGAACATAGCAGAGCATTTAGCAGTTAAAGAGAAACCAGAGTTAAAGGGAAAGTGAATATTGTACTTATATTAATCAGGTGGCCAGAAACACCAGTTCAAATAAATGCTGATGTTGATTTTTGTCTGCTGTGTCTGTAAACAAGCAACTGTTTGTTATATGAAGTTTCCCATAATGATGAAAAAATAAATAATGCTGCTTTAAGTTTTAATGTGATTTCAAAGGACTTGCTTTTGATTATTGGTCTGAATGTGATGAAATACAATCAAACACCAGCCCAATTATGAGCGATAAAGAAAACCATGAAAGTAAGCAGCATTGTCCTTCTCTCCTTTTCCCCGATATTTGATTCCCTATCTGGTTTCACGTAATCCTGAAGAATGAGTATTTCCACCACAACTCACCTTGCACTGTCCTATCACAACAACATTCAATGTGCAGAGATGTCAGCTTATTATCTGACCTGTCCATGCCTGAGAAACAGTCTGGAGTCTGGACAACTTCTCTGGTGAACATTTGACCTGTCAATTTACTCACATGTTGACTAAAAAAAAATAAATAGAAAAACAAAAAACACTATAGCCTTAACTTACCTTTAGTATCACTTCATATTGAAATGTAATGGGGTGGATCTGTCAAGCAGCATGCCTCCATGGCAGCGGTGCACTGGCCATCGGGCAAACTGGGACAAATCCCAGTGGGCTCACTGACCCGACATTTATTTGACAGTTTAAATTACTGGCTACTCAGATTAAGATTTTACATAAAGAACATTTGATACATTAATAAAACACAAAACATTACTGAAGATTAAAACGGTGCTTTCCAGCCATTTTGGCTTGTGAGCCATTATAAAAATCAAGTATTTGGTAGGGGATAGTTTTCACATTTCAGATTGTCTACGAAATGTTAACAATTCCACCAGAGAGGAATTTGCTTTCTGTACTTTAACGTAAGTGGGATTTTGAATGGAGCACTTGCACTTGTGACAGACTATTTAACATTTTTGTCTTGCTAACCATCATGGATGTCTGTATCAAAAACCAACATTAATTAGCAGAAACATGAAAATTCAACAGCAAAATTAGAAATGCTCCGATTAAATAACATTTTGATAATTATACCATATGTCAGGCAATCTGCACTACGCACAATTTAAGCAGTATATAAAATCAACAGGCTGCTCTTCTAGTTAACGGTGGCTGTTTCTTGACAAAGATATAAAATAAGTTATTATTTTAATTAAATTGGAAAACAGCAAGCTAACTATAAATAATGAAATTAAGTGTTGAAAATGTAATTATATAAAAGATTATTCGCTGGCTAAATGAAGCACAATTAAAGTCTTAACTAAAATGATACCATCAGCTAAAATAAGTCAATTGTTTCTCTTTCATTTTTGCATCTTGTTGATGTTTGTTTGGGAACTGTCAGTACAGTATCGCTCATATATTGTTCACACAGAAACTTCAAGAGCATAAAAAAAGCACAAGATTTAACATTAAATTGTGTTCTGACCATGGTTTTTCCCAGAACAGGATGTTCATAATTGGACCATCCTGTTCCTGCAACTTTTTCTAAAATGATTCCCGTGCATGAGCTGCATCAAGGTAAACACAACAAGAACACATGCTGTGGAAACCTGAAAAAAACCCTATGTGGTATGTGTCAGACATTGACTAATCAGTGACTGTGGAGGAGATTATATAGAAGAGCCACAGTGTTTCAGAATGTGTTTGTGAATGTTTGAGGTGTGTGTGTCTCTCTCTCATCTCTGTACCGCACACAACGGATCTAATTGGTTTGTTCTCCGGCCTGATAAGAGGTATGCATGCTAATGTATTCAATCTGGGCAATGGCTCTCAGAGCTGATTTCACATGAACAATGATGATGAAAAAATGTAAATACCCACATTTACAGTAATTGGCCTTGGGCACATTGTCTGCATTGTGTGTTTTGTGATGCAAATGGTTTAAATTTGAGGTTGCCTGTAAAGTTGGGCAGGGGAGATTGCCGTACATACTTCCATGTCATTATCCCCCATAGTTTTACCTTTTCAATGGAAATCAGTGGATTCTACAAGTAGCATGCAAAACAGGTTTTCGTGTAAACCATAGCACCGGGGGAATGCCCTTCCTCTGATCTTCTGTGCATTTCTAATACCCTCTTTTCCAATGAAGTTATGATAATGGAGCTTGGTTACACGCCTGTAATTGGCTATTCATTGGGATAATCTAACATCAAGTCTTGTCATGTCTAAACCGTGTCTGGCATGAAAGAAAAGAAATTTGAAATACAAACTTTATGTCAGAGTTTGAAGAACTTTTCACACAGAAGATATTGTTTTAAATATTTACACTTGTCACAATGAGTAATAAGAGTTAGAATTTAAAACATAAAAGAATATATCAAAATAAAATTAAACATATAAAAATATTAAACTAAGTAGATAAAAGCCATGAACTAAACTGCATATAAAATGTTATTTTTGTAGGCTGGAAGATACTAAGTTTTAAATTTTAAGCATTGACAAATAAATTGATTTAATATTGCAGTGATTGATAATAAATTTCTTACCATAACAACTTGTTAGGTTTGTATATTTTGTATATACTGTAAGTTGTTTATAAATTATATGAATTGATATTGGACATTCACATTTCTTTTTGAGTAATCTTATTTCATCATTATTAACAGAGTTTCTCATTATTATTATTATATATAAATTTATATTACAAATTGTCGTTATTGTTGTTCACACATTATCATTATTATTGTTGTAATTATTATTATTATTGATATATTTACATATTATGAACTGTCTTTCAGAAATGAGAATTTTTCCATCGTTTGCTGTGAAATGAAGATGATCATGCTTTGCAGAATTTTTCATATTTTCACGATAAAAAAGAAAGTTTGCCATCTAGTAGCCCACATGGCCATCATGCATGTTGTGAGGTATGGAGCTTTTGCAAACGACCACCCGAACAGAGGAGTCCTCCTGCCACAGATCAAGCCACCGGGCCTTGAACCTGACCCCTCAGGACCATCTAGGGCGAGCTTGTCACATTGCATCCCCGCTGGCACTTTGTTGTCGCAAGGGTTCCTCAATGGTTCGAGGGAGATAGATAGTGTGGCCGTCCATCCAATAAACCTCCCCTCTCCCCTCCCCGATCCCCGCGGTGCTCCCGGTTTTGACACAGGAGACAAAACCCGCGGAGAGGACTATGAATGGTAAAGCACCGAGGAGGCCGAGGGAGAGCAAAAAGGAGGCGGTGAGCCTTTGTAGTCGGGGAGGAATGCGGAAATGTCCCCGCTCCGTGTCAAACCTCTCTGAAGGGGGTCAGGCCACATTCAGCCGGCGTGGGAAAGCCAGGCAGAGACGGAGCTCACACAGGCGAGCGGGGCTGCAGTTGCATAGGCCTATCCGGGGATATATGGAAGAGAAAAAAAAGAAGAAAGAAAGGAGAAAATCCAAAGAAGAGCGTGGTTTTGGAGGGCTATATCACGCGTTTGCCTTTGTCCTATGCCCCCCCCCATCCTACACCCCCTTCCCCTCCACACCCCCTACACACAAAGTTGCAGTGAGAGTGTGTGTGTTGAGTACAGCCCTCCTCCTCCACCACCACCACCACCACCACCTCCTCCTCCTCCTCCTCCTCCCCCCTTGTTTGAGTGGCTCTGCCCGGGCTGGTGCAGTCTAAGGGATGGGGGGTTAGCGCCTGCACCGTCCAACTACCTGTGTGGCCCCCGCATGGAGGACAGTGGACAGGGATGCGTTTGATGCAGGACATCTTATCCGAGACGTGAATGCCTCCTCAGCATTTTTATCGGACATGCCGACGTTACGACATTTTACTGACAACATAAAAAGAGGTAAACACAAAAAGTGGGGGATATATTTGTGCAGAATTTGATACCAAACATGTCTTTATGAGGCTGCAAATTTTGCTTTACAGCCCAATGATATTTTAAAACCCGAAATGTGCAATTCCCTGATTTGTTAGTATTTTATTTTAATTTGGCTGTTTGACTCCATGCACAATTACATTAGAATAAATTAGAGGAAGCCATCCAAGCTAATGAAAACACCCTCTAAACTCAACTCCTAAATTGTTTCATACATTTACAACGATTTGAGGCTTGAAAGGCGAGTTTTACGGGGTTTTAAATGGACCTTTGGTGTAGGAAGTTCAGACAATGCAATCAGACAGCCACGTGCTCGCCAAGTTTTGGTCGCCTCAAACATAAACTTTGATAAAACAGGACAGGGTAAGCAGTTAGTTGGTCATTTTACTAACCTGAAACAGCTTGGTGGGTAATGTTTGTGCTCTATTTTATGCGTGTTCTCTTTAAATCTTCTTGTTTAATTTCCTTTTAACAGTAAGACAGCCCACATGAACATAACTCCAGCAACCCTGCATGTGGAGTGAAATTTTCAACGCGCGAGACAGCTTATTTAATGCAAAGCTAGCTTTAAAAAGGGGCGAAAAAGTGGTTAATTTGAATTATTTTACATTACTTTGTGTTAGTGGTAGGAGGACATGAGTTGCTGTGCGTAATAGGAGGAGGAGTGGACGTTGGGGCGCAACGCTGCTCTTGTGTTGATAATCGGAATAAAACATGACAGTCCTGTTATTGCCTACCTGGAGCACAGTTTGACCATATCTGACAAAGATGGTGTCTTCCTCCATCTGTGTCTCCCTGTCATCTAGGCATTGCATGTGCCAACTTTTTTCTGTGAATATGCCTTTGTGAGAAACTCTCTGGCTCGTCACCCTCGCCGGGATTCCCCGCAATATTTTCAACAAGAGAGGAGAAAAAAAATCTGCAAATATGGACAAAGAAAGTATTGGTACTCAATATGAGCCTGTGGCCGAGATTGGAGAAGGCGCTTATGGGAAAGTGTACAAGGCAAGAGATTTGAAGAACGGGGGACGCTTTGTAGCCCTTAAAAGAGTTCGAGTCCAGACGGAGGAAGAAGGGATGCCTCTCTCCACCATCCGGGAGGTGGCAGTACTGAGGCAGCTTGAAGCCTTTGAGCACCCCAATGTTGTCAGGTAAGTGAGGGGGAGAGGTGGGCAGACCAGTGTGTTTGTGTGTGTGTATGCATGTGTGTGTTTGCATGTATCAAAGAGAGTGGGGGAGAGGGAGAGATGCACAGAGTGAGAGAAATTGTGTGTATGAGACATAGACACTCCACTTCCTTTTTGATGGTCTCTGGTGGCAACAGTGCTGCCTCATATGACCTTTAAGGGTAAGCCTGCATTCATACTTGTCCACTGTATTTGTAGCAGAAGTCTCTCTCTTTGACAGTTTTCTGCTGACAATATGAAAATGTTGGTTGCACAATAACTAGGCTAGCTGGTTGCTGCCAATATTAGCAGACAGGAGGTGCACACCTGTCACACCACGAATTTCACCGTTGTCATTGTTGTCTACTTTGTTAGATTCCTGTCTAGTTTGAAGCCCCGCCTTTTATTCATGATCATTGGTCAGAACCAGTCGCACTGATCCATGTCATGCACATATCTCTAAAAGAAAAAGAAAATAAGTCCACTCTGCCTAATAAACACAAGACACGAGACATCCTTCCAAACTGGTAGCTTACTATCCCCCCTTTTCCCTGAGAAAGGTCGCTGCTCTGTGAAGTGGAGCAGTGTGTGCATATTTTAAATATGTATATTTTAATGCATGAAAAGGCTTGAAAAAAGATATCATGATGTTAGTGAGGCTACCTGTTTAAATATAGGATTAGATAAAAAGAAAAATCTAAATTCTGATCAGGTAGTGTTTTTAGGTAGTCTGTCTTGCTCAAGAGCACGCTGACAGGGCAGATGAGTTGATGAACACATATTAGCTTGGAATGTATAAAAGGTGGCATTCCTAATGATTTAGCCTTAGCCTTTGTGCAAGATCTTTATAGCTTACATTATTTAGAATATTCAGTATCTGTGATGAAATATTCTGAACTGAAAGTTCACTCATGAGCTTTTTACAGACTTTATGTAAATTGAATCTACTCAGGTGTCATGACATCACCCAAGGAAAGTTGTAAGAGCACTTGGGATGCAACTAACCATGATTTCTAAACATTTCTATCTGTATATAATCAGTAGACCATTAAATGACTATACAACTAATTAAAAACAAAACATGTCACGGGCTTGATGCATTTTATAAATATACATATATTCCATGCTAGTGTATTCTCATCAATCCACATTTATGCTGTCAAAGTGCCCATGAGCAAGACGTTAACGCTCTCCTTGCTCAGTTACTGAAAGTCAGTCTGGATTTACTGAATATAACCATTTTACAGACAAGTTGCATATAGCCCAGTATTTATAGTTCCCCTCCGCTCTGCACACAGAGGCCATTTTCTTTCAGTTTTGTAATGAATTGTTCACTGAGAGGTCAGTAGTCAGATACTGCGTCATATGTTGGCACTAGTCAAGGTCTGACCTTGGTACTTGTTTTATTATGGAATATTGAGTGCTTTGGGATTGAAGGGGAAGTTCTAAATGGATGTTTCAGAAACATGGCTAGTGCCCTTGTGCCTTTAACAATAATTCCCCAGTGTATAAATGAATAGTGGAGAATAATGGTTATGGTTTTCTCTTGAAGGGATCACAATGGGTTTTGTACTCACTTGAAGACAATTACATCAGTGAGTATTAAAGTTGTCTTTGGTCAGTTTTATTTAGTTGTTAAATTTAGTTTGTGCACTACTGTGAGAGCATGCGTTTAGAGAATATGCAGTAGCATTTGTTGCAATAAATCGGTGCAAGATTGCAAACTGTCAAACGCACTGAACCATCAGTAGGAACCGCACTATCCTCCAGTTTAGCCATGCAGCATTGCCAAGCAGCTCAGGCCAGGAAGAGTGCATTGTGGGCCTTCTGTGTGACTCCAGGCAACCCCTGGATGTTTGTAATGAGGCCCATTATTCATTCCATATGTTCAGTGTCTGCTGAGAGCCCCCATTGTAGCCCAACAATCGAGCAGTGAGGGGCGTTTAACCCCAGCGCTTCAAGAGGAGGACGCCGTCTATTCTGTGACATCATGCACAGCACTAATACCTTGAACGAATCGCCTCTCACTCACCATTCTGACTCCAGCATTTCCAAGTCCACTGATTACAAGGGTGTTGGCATAGACACATGATGCCTCGTTGGATAGGAATGAAAGAGTTTCCGGAGAGATTTAGTCATTTCTTTCCATGCTTCAATTTTAAACAGCTTATGTCGATTAGCTAGTTTGAATTATAGCAGCACATGCATTGAAAGCATTGATGTGGCATTGAGTAGGATCACTATGAATTCATATTTGCAGCAACGATCATGTAGTTAAGTCTCTTAAATTTCATTATTTCCTCTAATTCCATCACTCTTTGTATTGAAGGTTGTAAATTTAGTAAGATATTCCTCGGTACATGTATAGGTTAAGGCCAAGTCTAAGTAATGAGAGACAAAATGAGCCCTTTTATGTTTCGTAGCCTACAGATTTAAACTTTACACCGTCATTGCCTCCTTCACATGCAATTAAAGATAATACTACTATACCTTAAAGGTAATGTGATTACAGTAATCCATTACTTGGTAACCCATGACTGACAGCACATGTGTCTGATGAAGATCCATCAAGGATCCCTTCTTCTCCTCTGTTGTCCTGATGAAAGATGCTGCCTTTGCCCCACTCGACTTCCCATAGAGCATCAGGAGTTGTCATAGTGCCGGTTGAGGAATGCTGCTTGTGGTCCCCAGCTCTTTGAAGAGGACATACTGGATAGGTTTTTTTCAGCTTTTCACTAAAGCCTGCCTTGGCAGTTCTGCCGACATAATCTGGATTCTTGGCCTTAGTTAGTTGCCTAGTGAAACACAACCATAAACACTGGGGTTTGGAGCTTGATGGTCTTGAATCTTCAAAAGCTAAGCACGGAACTAGGGGACTTTTTCAGAGTAACATGAAAAGAGTGATATCAGTACAACTTGCAGGAGATTATAATGATCTTAAAGTGTGTCTACCTCCTGCTGCAGGTTTGTTGTAGGAGCCCTGACTCAGGCTTTTAGCCTAAGATAGTGTGTGTTTTGTGTCCTCATATCTTTGGTGCATCAAGATCCTAGACTCTTTACTTAATAAGACATTTTGACTAGTCAGGTTTAAACAGTAACCTTGACCATTGCACTTTGTTTTCTTGAGAGTCAATATTGTCATTAGTTACACATGTGTTTGATATGTCTATTTCTTTGTCTGAAATCACTCACTGTTTTCTAGATTGTAACATTGCACATGTCATTGAGGGTCCAAAATAGTGATGATTTACACAGTATGTCTGAACTATTCAATGTTTATCATGAAGGGAATATTGATTGACTGAATGAGGGAGTGATTTCAGATGACGTTTATTTCTATTTGACTTATATAATAATGTTCATATCCTTTATATGAAAGACCAGGTCACCAATGAAGAAGGTCAAGATATGATCCTGTAGTCAGAAGCTTTGTTGCAGCATTTTCAGCACATGAAATCAATTATATTGATCTCCTCCACCTGTTCCTCCTGTTCTAGGTTGTTTGATGTGTGCACGGTCTCTCGAACTGACAGAGAAACCAAACTCACTTTGGTCTTTGAGCACGTGGATCAGGACCTGACCACCTACCTGGAGAAGGCCCCTGACCCCGGAGTACCACCCGAGACCATCAAGGTAACCATTGCTATTGTTTTCTAGAGGTACTTGGGAAGACAAATACTATTAACTGTGTCTTTAATGGTTAGTGTAAGTGACATTTCTTTGTGTCATATAAAAACATAAGGGATGAATACATTAATAATATTCCTCAACACATTTCAAAAGATGCAAGAACTCAATTTGAAATATTAATTTCAGTTTCCAATTGAAATATGAAGGAAGCTATTTGCTAATCCTCTGATGCATGAACATTGCATGACCGCAACGTGTCTGTATGGCACTGAGTGAGCTCCTTCGGCCGGAGACATGGAGGACAGAGTGCGGCTCCCTCCAACATCAGAGGTACCAGGGCATTTTGAAGGGCAGCACATGTGGCAGATGGGCTCCAAATTAGAGACTCCATGCCTTCTCTATTTTCACTTTACCCTCTCTCTCCAGATTTACAATGTATTACAGATGGTGTGTGTGTGTGTAAGAGAGAGAGAGTGAGACTAGATTTAAAAAATCTTCCCTTGTGTTTAAAAAAAACCAAGAGTACTCAATTTGATGCCAACAATTGTCTTTCACAATTGTCCTCTGTGTCAGCCATTCTACTGAAGGTACAACACATTCAAACTCAACACCACTATCAGTTTCTCCAATTCATTAAATAAATCCACCAAGTATCCACTTACACTTTGCCAAGAGGTCGGAAGTGGATGTGTTGGCAGCTCCTTCCCTCTGTAACTGTCTTCTTTTATTTTAATCTTTCCCACACAAATCCCTTTTAAAAATCTCTATCGTGTTTCACCCCAAGGTCTGTAGATACATCGTGGACAGTACTGGAGGCCTATATCTCTATTTTTGGACAGAGAGGCCTCAGAGTTTAAAGTGTCATATTTGAAACAGAGAAGTTGTGGAAGCTAGAGTAACCGTTGGTTTTCACCCCAGGCCTGGGTTTATGCTTAAAAGTTTTGTGTCGGGCCATAATGTCGGCGGGATGCTGTGCAAGCGTAGACGAGTAAGGTAGATCCCACCTGAGGCTTTCCCAGGGTTTTTCACTGAATCTGATACATTATGTGCTACTGTAGTTTCTGTAGGTGTGTTGTTACACCTCAAATGTTTACGTTCTACTGCAGTAGAAGAAGATGAAAGTAGAAGATTTACATGACAACCTATAACTGCATATGTATGTTATTATTCACTATTTGCTTTTTGACTGTTGAATATTCATACACTGGCACTAAATAGTTTATTGGTAGTTGTTCGTTAGGTATGCATTTGAAAACCATTCATAATTATTTTTCGTGATTGATAAATTGATCAATTGGTTATTGGGCATTTGGCTTGATAAATGGCTGCTTCACTGCTTCCAGCTCCCAATGAGTCATTAACCAGTGGATTAATGATAACTAATGGATTATTGGAAGGAAGTAATCATTAGCTGTAGTCTTAAGTCACAGATATACCTTGTGTTGGAACATGAGATCTTCGGTTGAACTACTTTTTGTGGTGGCGTAAAGGCGGTGGTATGCTTGAAATGAACTAGTTCATATGTTGTATCGTTCGACCACATCTGTTGGCAAAAGCATTTACAGCTGTTCCAAATGGCCACACTCAAGGGCGTAGTGAAAAGCCTGCCGTCATAGAAAGTGGTGAGACACAATATTCATTAAAATGGGGATAACACTGCACACTTTTGGACAGTCTCTCTCCTCAAAGGCAACAGTGGTGTCGCACTCGATTTTACTGTAGGAAGTAGTTTGTGAAGAAGGAAGAAAGAGCTCAGGATAGAGGTCCGAACCAAATCAGCTTGCGTGTAGGGTTTTCTTTTGAAAGTCCAAAAACTGGACATTAACCCCCCCAGCCCCCCACCCCCACACACCGGCACAATTCTGACATTGGAAAAGTTTGGGAGAGTTTTCCGACGCTGTCCAACAATCCAACAAGGACTTTGTTTAAAGCATACTGACCCCTTAAGGCACACCTCCTTCCTTTGCTTTCTCCTAACATCCATACAGCTGGAGCCTTGAGGGGACAAAAGGACAATGAAGGAGTGACAAGATGACCCAGGCACCATCCCCTGTTATTTCTAGGACAGTGGATATTGCACAGTAACCCCCCCCCCCCAATAACTTCATCTGCCCCTGGGTATACCAGATGACACCAGATTATGTCCAACAATCCCTCTAGCCATCTGATTAAATGCGTAACTCCTCAGTGTTACCCTTGAATGCCCTAAACCAAGGTAAAACATTCATCCTCGGCCAAAGACCCTAAACCAAAAAGAACAGGCATACTTTTCCTCAAAACCTATCTACCCCCAGCACCAGACACCCCACCCTGGCCCAGCCTGTCCACTTCAGTCCCCCACCCTCCACCACCCACTCAGCCTTACTCAGACTCAAGACCCACCACATGGTCATTGATGAAAGAGGCCCTCCTCCAGGAATCAAATGAGCTGGAAGGACATCAAGCAGCCAGGCTGCCCCAGCCTCAGTGCTCCTCAGCCGGGCCAGCGCTTGGGTCTCACCCACCCTTCTCTGTCGCCATCGTCCAAGCTTCCACAACTCCATTCTGTGGGCCCATAAAGGGGGAGGTTAATGAAGCATGGGGAGGGAATTACACTAACGCTAACCGGCAGATGTCCCATATTGTGCCTAGCTACAATAAACAATATGGCTGCCTCTGGTACATTTGCATTAGAAAGGGAGGCGCACTCAGAAAGCCATGTTTTGACTGCATCTTGCAGAGGGCTGACTACTTTTTTTCTTGGTCCTCCTGTTTTTTCAGGGTCAGATCTGTTGCCTTTTTGTGTGATTTTTGTTTCCTCCTGGCCAAGTTGTTTGTGGGGTTTTTTGGTTGAGGTGTTGCCAGTCGAAGACAGTTGTGTGTTGAGCAACTCTTGTGAGTTTCTTTGCTGCTGGAGTCAGCTTTGTGTTGTTTGTGTGTGAGGTGGATCACGTTTGCACTCTGTGTCACATGTGGTCTTAAACTTTGAGGCAGTATTTGACTATTTTAATTTCCAAATGTTTGATTTCCCACAGGCTGTGCTGCAAGTTATGCTGTTTAAAATAGTTGACATATTTTGTGGTTCTCCGCTGTGAGGGTAATTGATACAGCAGAGAAGATGGCACTCAGGCCAAGGGGCCAAGATTGTTTGTGTGTTTGTCCAAGAGTCACACTTCTGAGATAATTAGTGTTTACTAGGAAATGCTTCTGAAAGGAAGCACGGTGAAATGGCTATTTAAAGCAGAGAGGAACTGATGGAGGGGGGGGGGCATGCTATTGTGTCAGCCACCCTCAATACACACACACACACAAAATAACCAACTGCCTGCCTCTGTCCTATGGCCCTGTCTGTCTGCTGCCCCACTCGCTAGGTCATGGCTGGATGGAGATGTAGAAAGGAAGGTCTGTTTATGCATCCTGCCTGCCCTTGGTCAGAGGGCACCCACACATGTGCATGCTACACACAAACACACACGCACACGCACACGCACATACACACGCACATACACACGCACATACACACGCACATAAATTTAGATGCACATGTTACATTAACACAACCCCAGGGGGACATTCAGTTTGTGTGTGTGTATACATGCGCGCACACACATCAGTCCCCATCTCTACAGTGCTGTGGGGGGGGGGGGGGGGGCGCCCCGTCTCCTCCACTATGACCAGCACAGCAGCCAGCCCCGCGCCGTTTGCTAATGTTTTCTGCTTGAGTGTGCAGACCCCTTTGACTCACTCACCAGCTGGTCGGCAAGTGAATAGAGCTGCGGGCTCAGGTCCATGTCACTTGTGAGGTCTTGGCGGAGGGTTTTGGGGGTGTGTGTAGGGGGCATGTGTGTGTGTATAGAAGAGAGTGTGTGTGTATTTTGGAGGGGGGTGTATGGTCAAGGGTGCAGCACTCCCAGCATCACGGTATTTCACTTCACTAACATCTCTTTTCTCTTTCATCTCCGCATTGTTCCCTTTAACACGGTTGGTTTTCAAAGAGACTAAATGATTGTTGAGATTTAACGTTTTTAAATCATTTTTGTATGTTATTAGGTCTTCACCTGAAATAGTCCCTAGATGTTATTTGATCAAACAGTCTGTCATAGCTCTGCCAAAAACACCTAGCCACAATTCCTTGTAATAACTTGTTATTTGTTTACAGGTGCAAGACCTGTTTGAGAGAAATTCGGTTTGAAAAGAACAAGTCTAAGCTGGTTTCGACATAGTTCATTCCTGTTCGCACCAGTTTACTTTTGTTAGTTTGTCATGGATGCAGTGCCTATGGCCATTTCTGAGGTCAGCTTTTGGGCATAAAAAGAGAGCCAACGCCAATTAACTCAAGCAGGACAGCTGCTGAGAAACAGAGATCCATGCTTGTACAGAGCAGGGCCTCTCTCTGCCTCTACCATTTGTGTGTGTGTGTGTGCATGTGTGTCAGTTATCAAACATCTGCCACAGTCAACAAGAAAAGACACAGGCCTCGTCTGGTTAACTCCCTCCCTACCCCAATGTCTCAGCCATTCTACTTAACTTCTCCTACAGGTCCCATTCAGGCCTTTTGTTGCCTGGTTTAGCTGAGGAATTAATTCAAATTCAAATGTTGCTGTAGAGGTGCAAGGTCATGAAACCATCTGTCTTTGACATTTTGTAAGGACAATTAAGGCAGAACTTTGTAGGAAATTAAATTCATCAGGTCAATTTTAATCATTCACAGCCACCATATGAAAAATCTGATCGAACTGAAACCATCTGGTCTGTGCCGTTTGCTCAGTCTCACACTCATTACTGTCATCTTATCATGACCTTTAACCTTGACCGTAATATCTTCAAACTTAAATCATCCTCATTTTCACTTCACTGTAATAATTTTGTGTCCCTGTCCACTGTCTTTCTCTCCTTGTCTCTTCCTTCCGCCTTATTGTCATACAGGATATGATGTACCAGCTGCTCCAGGGGCTGGACTTCCTGCATTCACACCGCGTGGTCCACCGTGACCTGAAGCCCCAGAACATCCTGGTCACCAGCGGAGGACAGATCAAACTGGCCGACTTTGGCCTAGCCCGCATCTACAGCTTCCAGATGGCGCTCACCTCCGTGGTGAGTTATGTTGTTCGTACATCTGAACACAGTGGGACTCATTCAATAGTTTCTTGCAACAGAGTTCTCAAAACAAACATTCCCAAATACTGCGAGCCCATGGTTTCACAAAAGATGAACCAAAAGTGGGTCGCAGGATGTTTTAACTGGGTCACAGACACAAATAGACTTGGACAGGGGAATATTACATGATCAAATAAATGGAGGGTGATGACGTTATGTGAAGTTTTTGACCTGGTACAAGTGGAGTTCCTCTGCACCTGTCTACTTTGGTGAATATTAAATACACTCCTTCATGCTTGTCAGCTATTTAAGTGTCAGTTTCCAAATCTCTTTGTCAGCATAACCGGCATATCTCTTGCTGGAATATCATTTTGCTGTAACATACTCATATAAGTCTTTGAGCATTTTTTTAACAGACAGGAGGCAGCATATAATTGAGCAATCTAGATACTTTTTTAAATAACCACTGTAAGCACACTTTGATTTTTGACTCTATTACCAATGGGTTGCCTCTTACTTTTATTCAAGTCTAACTGACCTAGAAAGTGTACTCTGGTGTGCACATTGTGTCTGCTTTTCAGATTTTTACAGTACTGCAACACTGACAGCATCATTCTCATCATGACTTCTTAATCGAGACACACACACACACAGAAACACACCGCCTTGAACCCTCCCATCTCCAGAGAATTAGATGAAAAGGGTCTAATGTGATGTAGCGGGCACTTACAGGGCATCAGCGGGTAGCTCTGCAGCACTGGGCCAAATGATAGGGTTTCTCTGTGTAAAGTGAGAGCCAAGGGCCCCCGCGGCCTGTCTCAGGAATCCCTCAGTGGTTGTCGCAGACAGGGATGGAACAGACGAGGAGAGACAGACACCCCTCCCTTCCCAATGTCGGTGCTTTGATGTTCAACTGTTGAGCTCTGGGCTCTGATGACCAGATAATATAGAGAGAGACTGAAAGGAGTCTTTGGAAGAGCTTGAAATAAGGAGAGATGAGACCTTCAAGATTAAGGTAGCCAGCTCAGTAGCTCCATACCTTTTTTTTTTTTTTTTTTTTTTTTTTTTTTTTTTTTTTTTTTTTTTTTAAAAAAATTTTTTTTCCCAAGGGGGGAAAAATAAAGGGGGCCCGCCCAAAGCCCCACCACCTTTTTTTTTTTTTTTTTTTTTTTTTTTTTTTTTTTTTTTTTTTTTATTAATAAGCCTTTATTTGCCAAGAGAGGGTTTTGTCTTCTGTTCCACATTCACACGGACACATGCATGTATGCCTTTTAACTCCTTCACCGATCAACCTGACCAGTCCCAACCTATCAGGTTCATTTGTTTTTGATGAATAATTTGTGCTTTTGGTTTGTTTCACTTTGGAGGTGTCTGAGTGTGATACTAGACAAGACAGAGGTGCAATCAAACTGACGAAAGTGTAAATAGCATGAGGAGTGTAAGAGACAAATATTAAATACTTGGTGTTAGCCAGGAGTGATTGACCTACTTTCTAGAGTTACCCAATAAGCAGCCCAATACAATATAAATACAACAGTGTAAATAGGTTAATGTTACTCAATCGGCAGATGAGGCATCAGAATAACATGGGAGCTCAGATCAGGGGTTGTAGCTGATGGCTCCAAGTTAGCAACACTCAGGAGAATATAGTCTCTCATCCAGCTGTGCAGCATCTGCCCAGCTACAGTAAATATAAACATCCTGTGGGAAAGAACGCAAAAACTTATTCTTCTCTCAGCATCAGAATAGACTGGCACACGCGTCCATGCTGTTGCCACTGCTCAACAAGAGATGAGCAGCCGGGCTACTGGACACGAGCAGGTGCTCCTCCCTTCGTATCAACTGGAAATGACCTACATACTGTGTGTGTCTCACTACATAAAGACTTGTGCTCTGTGACGGATTTCTTAAAGATGGCAAATTTGAAAACCATAACATAAAGCAGTTTAAGTCATGGTAAATCTGGTTCATTGAGAGTCACGTTAAAAACCTATTACTCTGCATACAGCAACTCAGGTGCTGGTGACAACATGAAATCCAGCAGCAATGAAACCCTCGACACCCTACCACACACAAAAAGAAGCCATGTTATTTACTTCAGATTTCTTTATTGCACTAATTAAACATAAGTGAACTACAACATTTTGTTCCATGGCTTCATCTTAGCTTTTTGCAATATAGCAGCATTTCACTAAGGTAGCTCATTCAGCCTTTGACATGTTTTTATTTCTTGGCGCACAGATAAAAGTAGCTATAATGGGCTATTTTCAAAAATGTATTCTTAATTTATATTTATTATACCTATATTATGCTTATTATTTCACAGTCATTATATGAACAATAGATGACTTTTAGATCTCAGGAAGCCAAGCCAAGCAACACATCAGAGGAAAACGTAAAGTCTGTTCAGTAGAACCAGTAATGAATACAAATTTTAATTGGAATTTATTTCGATTTTTGATCACTGATGTTGTGAAGATGCGGTTACTGATAAAGTGATTGTCACTATTATCAGATAGCAGTTATAAGAAAATACTGATAAATATCTGTTCTAAATGTCAGGAGAGATTGTTGTCAGCTGTGGCACTGACTTTTTTCTCTTTGAGTAATGTGTGATTGTAGTCCAAGCCCCAACCACTAATTTCTCAATATCATTATCAAGGGTAATTTCTATGATTAAGATAAGTATTTTCTCGGTTAATGTCTATAATTTATCATTCTGATAATACACAGCTGACTCTCAGAGGAAGTCATACCTAACCCTAAAATTTATATAGAATTACGAAATATTCAGTACAAGTGTGGTTTCACAGGAGGTTTTGTTCTGTGAGTAGATTTTAGACTTTATTTATGACTAGGCGAGGGCACATTTTGTCGAGGGATGAATACTTACGGGGAATTCACCTTTAGTTTTGAGTGACATATATCAAGTCCCCGAAACTACTCGCACACACAGAGGCACTTAACATGTGAATCTGTTTGCACACAAACTCACACACTTATTTCCTTCCTCGGTTATAGAGATTGGGCCACAAAAATGAGATGTGTGTGTGCATGTGTGTGTGTGTGCATGTGAAAGAGAAAGAGTATGCGTGCGTTACTGCATGCATGCGCAGCAGTGGAGCGCTGCAACGTGAGCACGGGATCTTCGGTTCCAGATGAATGTTCCTGTGTCTGGAATCCCCCTATCAGTCCAACACACACACACATATACATACACACATGCGCACACGCACACAAACACACACACACACACACACACACACACACACACATGCACACACACACACAGTCTCCATTCATCCATTCAGTGTTTCCTGTTGCTAATAAAAGCAGATAATCTACACTGTTTTGCAGCACACATGTACACAAATACACACACTGTTTAAGAGGATCTTCCCCTTTGCCCAACAGACCAGCAGTTACTTATTTAGTCACCTAATGCCACCGTTACTGGCAGACAGATGGGCTTTGGAGAACTGCTGTTGCTTAAGCGAACAAGACACTTCTCTCTCACTTTCAAAGTGATTCATTTAGCACTTCTAGAATGACAAGATAGCTGAAGTGAGCATTTGCATAAAGTCGTCAAAAACAGTCCCTCACTCCTCTTTTTCTTTCCAATGTCTCTAACTGAAAGTAGCACTCTTGTTCTTTCTGCTGATGATTTACCAGCATTGTTGAACTTCTCTTTTTGTGATGAATTTGCTTTTCTCACCAAGCAACGTGTTGGCTTGTTAATAAGTCATTGACAAAAAATGCGATCTGGGTGTGTGTATATATAAAAAAAAAAATGTGTGGATTCTGGGTGCATTTGAACATGCATGGTTGTGTGTCACTGATGGTCCCATCCACATCACTCACCTACTATGTTGCACATATTTCACCTTCCCAGAGAGAGAGAGAGAGAGAGAGAGAGAGAGAGAGAGGAAGAGAGAGAAAGAGGGAGGGGGGGACCACCCATTGGGTTGGTACAGGGGTCCAGATTAGGCTGCCCCTGGCAGTCCCTAGGGGTCTGTTGCTTTGTTGATGGTTTTTTAATGACCCCAGTCTGGCTACAGCCTCATTGTGCTGCCATGAGTGACAGGCAGATGGGAAAAGCTGATGGGTTAATCTGACATACCAGAAAAAAGTGGAGAGGGATCTTTTCTCAGTCCATCCCTCTGAGATCCGATTTCTGCTAAAGCACTTTAGGGAAAACCATTTCTTTTGATGTTGTTTGAATTCGGAATAAAAAGGTACTGCAAATTTTTATACAAAATACAACAACGAAGAGTCCGCAGTGTTGCAGAAATTCCTTTGTATACTTGAGTGTTAAAACATGACTTATTAACATTGGGCGAGTTTGATCAAAGAACCTGATAAATATTTGAAGTTAGAAGGAAGCCTTCCATCATCTGATGTGGACTTGTCTAAATCAAAGTGGAGGAACATTAAAATGAAAACATCCTAAGGCTAAAAATAGCTTCTAACTGGCCGAGTGTGGAAAGCCTCAGTTAGGTGGGTCAGTCCTAACTTTAGGACTCCTAAGTTTTTAGTCTAAGAGTAACTACTGGCTCTTAAATTTGTGAGAATTTAGATGTATGAGTCCATAAACCTAGAATCAGTCAGCTGCCTCTGGCATTGCACCTTTTCACATCACTGTATTGGAAAAATAAAACTTGTTTAAATACAAAATTGATTGAGGTCAACCCCACCTATTCTTGTAGTGTAAGAGTTCTCTCAGTTCCTCAGTAAAAGTTGTTCTCAGCAGCTTTGTGAATAGCTCTTAAGAAGGGTGTCTTAGCGAGGAGCTTTTAGCTCCGTTTAGAAGGACTGAATATGGTCCTTGATCTGGAGGGGACAGAGGAGTAGAGGTTAGGTCAGGTGTTCTTTTAAAAACATACAAAAGATAACCTGCAGGAACCTGACCATGGTGGTCTTTCTATTGTCACCGTCCAAACTCTGGCATCCATTATAATACAAGGCTGACTGGATGGTCCCATGAAACCCATTAGTTT